AGCAGTATCCGACAGAAAAGCGACACCGATCGAGATTTTCTGACTACATACATAATGTTAATGTACTTAAACCCTTTCACCTACCCTGCGTTATGACAAATTAGCGTTCTCGTACAAAGAACTTTTCCGCATTCTGGCGGCGCGTTTTCTGGCCGCGCGTAAATTGGAGCGAGGGGAAATTCAACGAAGCTCGCCCCACCACCCCCTGCTTCGTCGAATTTTTGCTTTCGCTCCAATTTACGGCCAGAATACGCGCCCCCAGAATGCAGAAAAGCTCTTTGTGCGGGAACGCTTACCACGCAGGCTACCATTCACCCCGTGGGGGCATAGGTCCTTCGGGAAGTCTCTCCATCCCTGATGTTAATGTATTGATTATGTATAAATTCGGTCCCGCCGAAGAAAAAGAAGAGGATCTGAGCTGAGAAAAGCGCAGTGCCTCGATAATCACGGTCCTGGTATGCTAAATGTGATGTGCTCAGACGACTTCTTTGCAAGGACCAGTGTACCTTTGCTGAACATATTGCATCACATACTACTATAATTTAAGCCTCCTCCTCGTTCAATTAACATTTTTTGGCAAATTAAAAGTACTTCGTTCTTCAATTTCTTTGTCCCCCATATTGGATACTCTATAAGTCTAACACATTTTCCGTTGACCGACATACCGGACAGTGTCAATTCTGAATTGCGACACAAGTACGGCGTATGAACGAACAGTCGCGGCAGACGTACGGCATCTGAACCGGGTCTAGAATGGAAGCAAGCATCTGATAGATTGTCTGTTGTTGTTGTTGTTTGTTTTGTTTTGTTTTTGTTTTTTGCCGATGTTCATGTGACGTCGTCATATTCCAAATAATATTTGCCTATTTAGTTTATCACAGGCAAGAGCCCGTAAGATCTTGATTATGACGTTTCGCAAAGTTTTAGCTCGACTGGCTTCGTTTTTAACAGAGCACATTTCAATTTCCAAGCTTTTGCGTTGCGTGACATTTTTTTTTTTCCATTTTTCATAAAATGGTCGTGGATCGCGTAGGTCAAAGATAAGTTATCGCTTACGTTTTTGCTAATTGAACTTTTCTTGTACTACAAGAAGTATTAATCTTAACACCTTAATCAAAACACCTTGGAACCATGGGATTTGAGAGCGGAGGGAGGTGATTGGAGTGGCTCTCTCTACCAAAGCAGAAACAGGAAAATGATCGAAAATGATCAATCTATTTGCATCGTGAAGAACGGTACAATGTTTGTGCTACAGGTAGTCAACTACATTTAAACGAAATGAATTACTTTAAATTATATAACTTATGAGAGTTCCTTTTTCCTTGGCCGGCTACAATGTAACTCCAAGATATCATAAGCATGTTCACTTAGTTACCATAGCAACAGCATATTCTTATATAAACCAGCGATATCAGCAGTAACAAATAGAATTAATCAATTATATCTTTTGCTTCTTAGTGGTTTGGATTACCTCTTGTTCTTCTCTATCGTGCCGTCTTTGCTGCCTTCTGTTGTGGGTGGCTGATTAGGAGCGCAACTTATTCCCAGGAACACGGACCCAAGTGGTTGATTTACTTGAGTAACTGGAGCTTCTTTTTCGTCACTCTTTATTTCGTTTGTGCTACCATAGTATCGGCAATACACTACAGGAAACAACATAAACACACAGAATATGACACCGGAAACCGACCGCAAATTGATGTGAAGGACTTGGCTTCACGCGAAAACTCACACAATGGCCACATGCCAAGTTTTGCCATTGATACCAGTGATGATGTTGACGACGTGGCACCCAACGCTGACGACGCAGAAGCTTCTGAGGTCTTTCCAATGGCTTGGTTTCACGAAGCATTGTGGGTAATATATAACATTGCAGCAGTAGCAGCCCTTTTAGTGACCTTGACTTTCTAGTCGTTGCTCTTCAGATTAGTGAATAACCTGCGCGCTCTAACTGTTGTTGTTCACGGAATGAACTCTGTAATTATGATTGGTGACACTGTGCTCAGTTCAATTCCTGTTCGCTTGTTTCATGTTATTTATCCAATGTTCTACAGCATAACCTATATCGTGTTCACGGTGATTTACTGGGCGGTCGGTGGCACAAGTTATTTTGGCACGCCTTACATTTACCCTCAAACCGACTACACAGGGAGACCAGTCCTGTCTGCTGTGTCGCAAATTTGTCTTTTCTTTGTTGGTCTGCCTTTATGTCAAAGTGTGTTGTTTGGTTTCTATATGCTACGAGTCTGGATACAAACTAAGTGTGGAAAATAGAATGATTATGCCATATAGACACGAACCTGTTCTTTTACTTTTAATGCTTCCAATTTAGGTAGTGCATATGGAACGTTTTTACTCACGAGGCCAGCAATCATGCAAATTTATTAGGACAAAACAAGGTGATTACATTCGGAAAAGAGTTCACCACCATGGCCGACGTTTCATTGTTTTGGGACACCAATATGGCTGCCGTGACGTCATGTAAAAACAATTTACATACAGTTTATATCATTACAGACGTTTCTAACTGTCTGATATTTATTAGCGTTACATGTAGCACTGGAAGTCACTGAATACATATATTTAAGGTAACGCACTATCGAATGGAACGCAACGTTTCATAAGCAGTCCAGCGCTCACATTAGAAAAATAAAGGACAGTTTACCTGTGTTTACTACAGTAAGTTAAATGAAAGAGAAAAGAACACACACATCCTCATATATTTCGCGTCAATGTCAGTGGAAAGAGCCCATAGCTTGCAGTCCTAGTTACTCTCCTCAGGGATGGACGATAGTTGACTTTTGAGTGGGAAGGGTGGGGAGGGGGGGAGGGGAGGAGGAAATTTTGACAACAAAACAAAATGTCATGCATATATACATGCATACAAAGGGTCAACAAACATGCCTAAATTAAATCACCCCTCCACCACTTTAACATCAAATGGTCCACCCCTCAATTAACCTCTGTAACAAATGAGGTAAATATTGGGATATTACCCTGAGAATGATTTTTTTTCAAATGTTTGACTTGATTTTTAATATGTGAAGCCTTGGAGCCGACTGGCTCATTGCTGCCAGAGCTTATCCCGGTTTCTGTAACATGAGGTGGCTAGGAGTATTTCTATTCCCCCTGGACGGGATGCGACTCCATGACAGGTCACTCCCCGCAATTTGTTAGTTTTCCCCAACAATAGCCCTTTTCATGGTTAATTTTTCTCATTTGCATTACAATGTAATCCAACGCGGATGCGAGGGAAATCGGGCTAAAACTACAAAAGAGCCCGAAATTGCCTTACCTACATGCTAGATTTTATTGTAATGCAAATAAAAAAGGTAACCGTGAAAAGGGCTATTAGCCGGTACCCATTTATACTCCTGGTTGGAGAGAGGCACTGTGAGAGTTAAGTGTCTTGCCCAAGAACACAACACAGTGTCCCCGGCCAGGGCTCGAACCGGATCGCTAGATCCGGAGATGAGCGCACTAACCATGAGGCCACCGCGCCTACACGATTTTTTTTTTTTTAAGTACTCACATTAATTGAAGTGATTGTTCTTGTAGTAGCGTAATGCCAGTTTTATATAGTATTCATATCGTACTTTCTGTATCCCATCAGAGATTTTTTTTTTTCAAAAATCGTTTGCTTCATCTGTTCCCATTATTTGCTCCTGCAGTTTGTTTTATGTTATTCTGTTTGTTTGTGTTTCCTCTCAATGCTGCTTTTGTCACTTTTTGCCAGAAATGACGGCATTTCAGTATTTATTGCCCTTTACCGAGTCGCCCAGTTTAATCGCAAAGAAATAACTTTGTGGTCAATTTCTGTTCTTCTTCCTTCTTGAGCTCTGCCTTCGATACAACGCTGACAAGCAAGGGCAGGAGAAGAATTGGTCGGTGTTAACGTTTATATATATATATATATATTTTTTTTTTTTTTTCAGGCATTTATAAGCTAAAATCAGGTTTTTCCTAAGAAGTGCCTGCTTCAAACGATAGACATCTTCACGGCCTCTGACGCCATCTTGTTTGGAATGCAACGCACCAAAAATTACAGTAACCTGTAAGGAAGAAAAAAAACGAATCTAATGTCTAAAAAGTCACGGAAAATTCGAGTTCTGAAGTATCTATGAATTAAAAACTAATGATATAGGTAAAATAATTTACTGATCGCATTTGAGGGAAATAGCCTCGCTAGAAAAGCAACAGTAGAGGTCTTTTATTTTTTTATTTTTTTTTTTTCTCATACGTACATTTTTTAGGCATTTGCATGAAAAATTAAAAGTGTAATTCTTTGCCTCGCAGCGAATCTATGTTCTTCAAATTTGACCAAGTTACAAGGAAGCGATTCCTTGTAGCTCATAAAATACGCAGAAAGTCAATCACTTTCAACTTATTGGGCATCGAACTTTTAACTTTTCCACTATATTTACTCAATTTACGCAAGATGGCGTCAGAAACCCTAGAAAAGGTGTATTAAACAACGGCTACGTATCCTGCATTTGAGTACATCTCGATGCTCTCCTGGAACACACGCCGATGCATGTATTCTCATATACTTGAGAATGTTCAGTTCTATCTGAAAACCCCTAACGAGACAGTAGAAAATTGTGAAGGCTGTTTAACCATGCTTAACTTCAAGTGCATGTGCAAAATTCCTAGTTTTCAGAGTAGCCGAGTTACACCCGAAGGGGGGGGGGGAGGCTTCTGCCATATATGGGCTATATAGGTATGTGCCGCTGTGAAGGGTATGGTTTTCAAGCAGTTTACTATATACTATTATATATTATATTTATATTACTATATAATATTAAAAAAATCAAATCGGCGAGTTTAAATTTACGCAAATCAGCCTCAATAGTGTCGATACATGCTGGGATTTGGGGAGTTTACTGTAGTATAGGGTAGCAAAATTCAGCTGAACTAGCTCTGGTATAGACTAAGGGTTCCAGGGTCTCAGCAGCACATCCCCACCCAGAAATTCCCAAAGTACAACCCCCCCCCCGGGATATTACACATCAGTAATGTACGAGATGAATCATTTTCTACCGGTCTGTACCATCGGACTTTTGTATGCATGGCACCCTAGAAAACGTAAGAGCTGCCCAAAAGCGAATGGTAAGCAGTAATAGTAAGATTCGACGCGTGCGAATCATTCACTTCATGCATGAATCATGTGGAAGCTCTTTTTGGGCATTGTGTGGCATGACCTCTGGCAACGGACACCCTACCCTGAATTCGTAATTACACAGTAAGCCCATTGTGGTCTACTAGCAATTCGAGATTCGGAGAAGAGTTAAACTGATCAGAGAGTGAGGTTTCTTTGAGAAAATGTGCTGGGGTATACTTCGGGACGAATTTCGTCTGGTTCAGTTTCGTTTGCTGCATCCAAACGCCGAGGATTTCGCACAATCTCCTGTAAGTTTTGATCTTCAATACACCGTAATTAAATATGACTACATAAGGAAGGAATGTTAGGATGCAAATACCTGTAGACTACACGGGCTTTAGTTCAAACAAGCGAGGCATCTGTGAAGCAAGATGCGTATGATTCCATTACTGTAGCATATTTGGCAATCTGCCCGGATTTGAGAGATTTCGACAGGCTTCAAGTAGCATTTATAACTCTGATTAAGGTAAACAATATTCTAGAGATTGATGTTGAAATTACATTTAAGTGCTGTCTCTCGGGGCTTATATGCGACTTTTAAGTTGTTTTTGTAAACTAGCCTTAATCTTGGCGAAAAATTGTCAAAACCCTCAGGGTTAGGGTTAGTCAAAAATTTACAGTTTTGGATTGTTCTTTGGCAAATTCCTCTGAGCAGTTCGCGGGGTTAAGCCGAACCGAACGGAACTTTTTTCACGTGTAAACAATGCTATGCAAATGACGATACACATCAGTGCATGATGATTACGATCGTAAATTTGCATTGCAAAAGTTGACAACCAGAAATGTATTGTTTCCTTCTAATTACTGGAAGAAGGATTTAGTTTCTTAACTGGATTGTGATTTTTAGATCCCATGATGCACAGAAACGTAACTGAGAAAGCCGTCTATTTCAAAAGAATGCAAAAGAAATCGCGTGACGAGGCAACAACAGGAAAACCACTGTTTGATGTTGCGCACAGGAAGCAGAGGAGTCATATTTGACCGTATTTCCAGTGAAATTAATATTCACCGTAAAGATTTACGGGCGATTCAAAATTTGACCAAGATAAAGCTTTCATCCCTCGTCTCTTTTCTTACTGTTAGTCACTGTTAGTCACCACGAGGGATAACCCACAGTCATTTCTGTATGCGGTATTCGTCGTGAGGACAGGACGGGATTTTAAGAGACGCGTGTTTACAGTTCGATCACTTAGTGATTTGAATCAGCAACAGATCGATTCGGGCTACAATTGTACGTAGCCTGATTCTCAGACGTCCGAGGTCGTTCGCTACCCCTCTCTCCTCTCCCGTCTGATACACTCTGTGCGAGGTTGTGTTCATGACGTCAGAGCCATTGTCAATTTTCACCAATCAGAGCGGATGTACCACATCCCGAGTGTGGAATGTGCGGAATGTTATTCAAAAAGGTTTCGAATCGGCTGTGAAAACTTGAACGCTTTCCAAGTTTTGGCGTGGAAAAACTGTTCTCTAAACAGTTCAAAGCGCTCAAAATGTTTGTTTGTGGTATTTATGTCCTTCTTAACTTGCCAACGGGATTCGGAAAGTCGCTTGTGTTCCAGATGGCTCCTTTAATTCACGCCGAAATCACTAGGCCGCGGTGGATTTGAAGCGAACCCAATGATAATTGTGATATCTCCTCTAGTGAGCCTTATGGAAGATCAAACAAATTTGTTACGGAAATTTGGTATACCAGCCGACTCGATAGGAGAAGATAAGGCTCTGGATCTGAAGATTGAGAAAGGAGAGTGCTCCGTGATATTTTCGTCGCCGGAGTCCTTACTAGGAAATGGTCGGTGGCGAAGGTTTCCTGGAAAAACCGGACCTTTGTATGAAAAGTATTTGTCGAAATATTCTGTGTATAAAACAGTTTTGTTTTTCACAAATTCATTATGTACTCACACTTAACAGCCAAATACATCGCTAAATACAGTTTATTATAATGATACTTAAGGAGGAACATTTCATATTCACTTATGTCAAACAAAAATGTACCATTTTCTTTATTCCTTTTCGAGCAAAAAAAGCCTTGATCGAATATTACGTGAATATTATTTAACTTAAAAAACGCAGAAAGGGGCTTCAATATAGGAATTGTCCACACCTGTACAAAAGCTTTCGGACACTGAACCAAGTTCGTCTGGTGGAGGTGAGAAGAAATTCCTCCCAATGTTTACACATGCTGGAAATGCCCGCACAACTACAGGAACACCTGAGTGCCTTACTGCTGTATGTCCAACCATCGAAACTGCAGGAGGTAACCCTGTCAGACTTGTAATCTCCCTCACCGGTAATACTGGTGATCGAAGGAAACCTTGTTTCATCTTGAGGTGGATTTGTAGGAAATAGAGCTTTCTTCACGGGCTTCGCTTCCAGCGATCTCGCGACAGATACCTCCTGAGTTTGATCTCGACTCAATCTCCGCTTTATGCGAACCACGTTGTTTTTAGGCATTTCTGCCCTCGACTCGTCCTCGAGACTTTTGAAATTTCACATCATTTTTTTCGATCTTTTTCAACTTTGGGTAGCATTTTCTTTTGCAATATTGCAAGTTCTCGTTTGAAGTTTGTAACTCACCGCCTAAATATCTTGCAGAGTTCCTCGCAAAGCGCCCCAAAAACCGCTATTCTATCGCTTGTTTCGAGAAATTCAGTGCAGAACAAGCACTGAATCGAGCTCGTCCGAGATAAGACGGCTATCTTCGACGTAGAAATTAAAAGCATTGCTAAGTAATCTTCGCTTTGGCAAAATCTGATCAAGGAAGAACCCGCGTGAAATTGATTTGTTGACTTTTCCACGCTTCATTTCTTACGTGTGTTGTGACTGGCCCTTACTATACAATAGGTGCTTTGACGTCATGAACACGATCTCGCACAGAGTATATCAGACGGGAGAGGGAGAGAGGGGCCGCGAACGATCTCGGACGTCTGAGAATCAGGCTACAATTGAACAGTGAATTTAACTAGAAATACGGTCAAATATGACTCCTCTGCTCCCAGTGTGTTGCGTTACCAAAAATTGTTAGAAAATAACACAAAGAAAACATGATACGCGCGTTGATTGGTTGAAAATCGTGTTTCTATGAAACAATTAGATTATGAGTTCGAGATTTCTATAGGGTGATAGTTGACGAAGGCGCAGCCCGAACTTAATAGACCTGCGCCCTCGTCAACTATCACGCGATAGAAACCGAGAGCTCAAAATTGTTTTAGTTTAAATCTACTGGTCGTTCAAAACCTCATCCAAATTCTTTTCACAGAAACCTGGAAAACGCAAAGAAGCGGCCGTCATTTTGGAACGACCGCACACTGCTGAGCTACTCCCTATCTACCACAATAGAGAGTGAGTAGCGTACCCAATCAGAAAACGGCATATGCATTCGTGATAGAACGCTAGTAGATTTATACTAAATTATATGAACATACTAATTTATATAAATAAGACCACGTGGACAGACACTTCTCGAACTGTTCAGTAATCGAACTTAATGGAACTTAATGGAACTTAATCGAACGATTGAGCTTGGCAATTTGAACAAAATCAAACACAAAAGTTGATTGCTCTAATTTTTTTTGTGTGTGTGTGTGATCGTTCGATTGCCTTCCACTACCGAACTTTAGTCGAACCCAGTCGTTTAACGAAATGTCTGATTTGATTCGAGTAGTTACGTTGGGTAGCGCTGCAATTGGGTGAGATAAGTGAGTCTTTTTTTTTTTTGTTTTTAACTGCACAGATGGTATCGCTTATTCCTTTCATACACAAGGCAAAGACATACTTTGGCGACATCGATCGCATATCTCGAGAGAATCTCTGTGCAGAAAACTTCGAGATTTGTCGTCTATTTTGTTTTTCATATATCAATACATTTGTCAATCTATAATATAATGATTTTAATTTTCACGTTCTTTAGAAATGAGCGGTTTAGTACACGGAAGAATGCACAGCGTTTAATCTACTAAATAAATATATATTGATTGCATGGATAGCATGCATGTTGGTTTTGTTAGCACGTATAAAATGTGTCATTGTTGCAACTCCCCAGCTAGGCTGGACCTTACTGCTGTTTTTAATGTTAATAAATTAATCGCCTACTGTATGTTTGTTATTCTATTTTGATTTCGATTAATAAATAATTCAGTACACTTAGTCGCATATCCTATATAAATAGAAGCGACTCAGTTAAGACAATGTTCTCGACCAAAAGAAAGTATTTCAAATGTTATAAATAGTGCCAAAATAAACTCAGTTCTATAGCAGCAGACGTTTCGGGCCTAGCCCTTCCTCAGAGCTTAGTTTTCAAAACTAAGGACTGTGGATGGGCAAGGCCCGAAACGTCCGCTATATGACTGAATTTATTTTGGCTTTATTTTATCACTATTTATAACTTTAGAACTATATAGACTGTGCCACGTAGTCACGGTTCCTTTTTTAGGGATTACAAACATTTAGTTAAATAACTGAATTTGTCCGTCTTTATTTTTTAGTGGTTTGGTGTGTTAGTCGTACTGATGTATCGCTTCGCCGTTGCCGCCTTCTGTACCGGCTGGATGATTTCAAGCCTAATTCGTAAAAATTGGTTTCTTTGGCTGAGTAACTGGAGCTTCCTCGTTGTAACAGTGTACTTCATTTGTGCCACCATAGTAACGGCCTTCCACTACAAGAGAGAACGGAAGCCTGCAGGAAAGATCGCAAGCGACCAGATGAAAAATGGCGAGGCAAATTCGACGTCCAAAGCAAAATGTGCTGCAGATTCCGATGGAAGCGTTAATGATATTGTTGAAATGCATTTCACATCGGACGCCTTTGAAGCATCACGGGCTCTTCCAATGGCTTGGTTTCACG